GCCGCGGTAGATGGAGGTGCGTTGGCCGAAGGTGTCCGCAGTCTTCTTAGAGGACGGCACGGTTAGAGCCAGCGCCTGTTTTTGCGGCTCAGCTCGTTCAGCGGCGGCCAAGCCGGGGAGGAACCCGGCGGTTATGGTTTTGAGCTCAGAACCGAATACGTTGTCGGCGGAGAACTGAGAAGCAGGCGGCGTGGGTACTGCAGATGTGACCGATGTAACGGAGGAGCCGCCCAGGAAGTCCTCGAACTTAGGGCCGCCTCCGGCGAAAACGGAGAGGTCGTTGCTGGTTGCACCTCCCCCGACAGTGGCCTCCGGCGACGCATCGACGGTGCTCCCTAAGCAAATAAGGACAGTCTTTCAGAAGCAAATAAATAGACAAAAAAGGAAAGCAACCGGAAGAAAAAAGCAGTAGAGAGAATAGTGCCTGGTGGAGAAGAAGAGAATGAATGGAAAAGAGAGGAGTGATTGGAGAGAGAGAAAGCAAGCCAGTTGTGAGAAGAAGAGTCCATAGGGTTTGGTGCTGGTCGTCGTGGATGAGCGTGAAAGAAGGGTTTCGTTGGAAAGGGTGAAGTAATAGTAGAAGAAGTAGAGGCTAGATTCTATTCCAAGGGGGTGAGAGAAAGAGAAGAGAGAGAGAGAGAGAGGGGTTTGAACTTTGAAGCTGAAGGAAGGAGGAGAGGGAGAATGTGACACAGATATAGAGGAGGGGAGGAGGGAAAGGGAGGGGAGGGTGGTGGGTGCAAGAGTGGTGAAGCTGGGAACAGCTGATTGCTGCTACGCCTACAGTGAATAGCGCGACCATCGAGGTGTTTTTTCTCTTCCACGCTCCGCTCCTATACGTGTGCTGTTTACTGGTATTATGCACTGCTAATTAAGGAGCAATTAATTAATTAATTAATCTCTAAATTGTTCTTACATTGTTTTTGGACTAAAAACTGTCTACTCTTTTAGTTTTATTCACAAGGAAGGCTTTTTTCAATGGTATTTATAGTCATACGTCGCTTCATTTAATTTGTCTTTCATTTATGAGAAAACTATATTGGAGGTATTTATATTTTTTTTTAATTTTTAATTTGATATCTGTGTGTTTTTTATTTTTAACTAAATCTTTATTTTTCCTCTATTAACATCATTAATCATTATGTAGAGACTAAAAATATCAACAGAGCAAGGTTATAAGAGCTAATGTTGCTAAAAAGATAAAATTAAATGTTTAATTAAAGGGAAAAACACATGGTACTAAATTAAAAATTGAGAGAAAGTATAGGTACCTTCAATATGGTTTTCTTTTCATTTATTATAGAATAAATAGTTATTTTCTGTTCATATTTATAAAGTATTTTCAGTATATTTCATATAAAAAAAAAGAAAACTTTAAACTATATTATCTCTTCATTAAAATATAACAATTTTTTAATTTTTTTCTTTATTTAATATGTACAACTTTCAAAAAAAATTATCTTCACTATTATAACAAATAAAAGACAAAATAGTATATTCATGTTAAAAATTTAATGAAGTGACTTATAAATAAGACTCAATAAAATTCTCTTTCTATTTTATAAATAAGACTAGACAGGTATTTTTAAAAATATATATATAGTAAACAGGATAAAACTGAAAATTTGTTATATATTTAATATGTGTGAAGCATACTCAAAAACAGGTGTGCATTACTTTCGCTTAAATACCATCCCTTAATTTTCTAATAGTAATTCAATTCAACTTAAATGTTGAAACTGAAATATAGTAAAATAATAATATGGTATAATTAATATTTAATATATTAAATCTTAATAGTTTGTGTGGAGTTTTAAATCTTAATAGTTTGTGTGGAGTTTTTTATGTACTTATATGAAATTAAATTCAAAAGATTCATTGTTCGCATTAAAGAGTACTACTAAATGTTGAGAAAATTTTAATATCATATATAAATACTACCATTTCAATCCTTATTATAAAAGATATCTTTTAGAAAAACATATTGTTCTTATTATTAATCATCGAGTAAATAATTAATTATGCTTCTTTATGATTACTGGTGATTAACACAAGATATAAGTTATAGTTTAGGGGCTTATTTATAATAGCTTATAAATAATTTTTAAATCATGATTTACAAAATACAAGGTAAATATGTGAAAGAAGTTTTGTCTCCGTTCATGCAAAACGTATTTATAAATGATTTATAACGTCATACCATACAGGAAGTGAATTGAGGAGATGAGGTGGTATTAATCACAAATTTTATAAATTCTTGGATAGTAAATAATGATGAATTTGGAATTTTTTTTATTTCAGACAAAGTTAATAATTCAAATAACAAACGAGTTCATTGGTTAAAACCTATACTAATTATTCACTCCTTTTAAAATTATAACGATTTTTAATTATAATTTTTACATTTCATTTTTAATTCTTCATACTAAACAGCAGCTATATGCCCTTATAAATACCACCATTGGCAGGAAGGATCTTTTTTTTTTTTTGGGTCAGAAATGTGCATGAATGGGAATTGATTAGGAGAGAAAGAAAGGGGGAGAGGGGATCGATGTTGAGGGGTGGCAAAGTGGAAGCATTTTATAGGAAGAGTGCGCGGCGTGTGGATGGATGGATACAGAAAGTATGGAGACTCTGATGAGTCTTCAATTATAAATGGTTGATTTAGGATCGGATAGATAGAAATGGAACATCATTTATAATACCATTACGTGAAACCTACAATACGTAACATATATATCATTGTTATATTGTCCTTTCCATTTTAAAAAAAAAAATAAAGCACTTATATAAGTCCCTTTTTAATTTTTTTATATAAACTTTAAATACTTTTAATAATTATATAAATATTTAAAGTTAAGATCGGGTAACATTGATCCCATTGGATTTGTTATGGCGAGGCGACCATCACATGTGAAGCTACAAAACGCCCACTCGATTTCTAGAATATCTCTATTATTAGAAGAAGTATCTAATAAAGTGTATTGGTTAGAACTACTATTATTAGAAGAAGTATCTTGAAAATAAATAAATAAATATGAGAGACAAAGAGAATTGAAATCTTATATTTAAAACTAAAATAAAAATCAAACGAAGTCTTATATTAAAGATCAGAGATAGTATAAAGCTAAATAAAATGGGCTGGGGAATCTTACAAAGAAAACTTCGCTCAATCCTAATTATGCCATTATATTTATAGCCAAAGATGTAATTTTAATTAAAATGAGGAAACACATGTTGCAAAATGGGATGCAAACACGACTTGAGACTATGGTTGTGCTAGGGCTAGGCTATGGCTATGTCTTGCAGTGCCTACTAGGTTGGAAACGGCTACAATGCTCGCTAAGTAGGAGAGAAGGTTGTAAAGGATCTTCATCAAGCTTTAAAATTAGATTTTGATGAGAAAGTTTATGCTAGACTAAAGAGAGTTAAGTGGAATATTCAAAAAATTAAGAAACACTAACTAAAATCTGAAATAATAAAAGCTGCCCGAGTAGGAAAAGGAATCAAGCAGCGACGACAATGTAAAGATTATGATGTTGTTGAAGCCCCACCCCGCATCCAAGGAGGGGAAAAGATCTTCCGAAGGCACAAGAGGACATTAATATTGAGCAAGAAATACTAACAAGGGTTGGATTTATTGGAAGAGATTAATCTTTTATAACGTAATGAATCAAAATTTAAATTTCTTTAGAATAGATGTTCACATTTAATACCGGATTGTGTCACAAATAAAATAAAATTACCTTTATTAGGAGGATGAATGTGCGTATCAAAAAAATATACAAAATAACATGGGTGATAATAGGGAATCTAGAAAAGGGAATGATCACGATAGAACCATGTCATCCAAGGTTAAAAAAAGAACTATGTCATCAAAATTCTAGAAGGCTGAATTTATAGTTTCATTATATTAGTCCCAAAAGGGACAGTGATAACCGTAATTTTCCCAAGCCACAAAAAAATTAGGAGAATGGGCATTAGTTGTCCTAATTTGTGAATACGCTTTGCCTTCTGGAATTGGAGCTCATTGTAAAATCTCTAATTAGCTTGATCTCATTTGAAAGCTTCATCTCTAATAAAAGGCGAACATAAATAAGATAATACTATCTCCGATTCTTCATATAAGAGCTCTTTTGACTTTTGTTTTGGTTTCAAATAGAAAACCCCAATCCATTTTGTCTATCATATTTATCTATTTTTTCTCAAAATAATCCTTATAACAATAATAGTTCTCGCTAATATAGTTGATTAGTAAAAATATCTTAAGAAAGACACACCTATTTATTACAAATAACTAATTTTTATAATCTATTTAAATTAGTCAACTAGTTCTTAGATTAAGGATCGGAAGAAGTAGTTGTGGCCAATGATAGCCAATGGAAACATTGAAATAGTCACAACTAGATTCCATGTTACAGTGGACAAGCTCGGAGACACAGACGACGGCAGGAATGAAGAGGATAGAAAGCACAACGTAATGGGGAGAAGGAAAGGTAGAGAAGAGGAGGAACCGAACATGTATGACACATAACAGCAAGCGCTCTATCTTTAAAATGGCTGAACTACCCACCATTTATGGCCTCTGATCACTCAGCTTGAAGGGTTGACTAAAGCCCATTCCAACCCCCCCCCCCAAAAAAAAAAATCCTAACCTCGTCCGTTTTGCCACGGATCGGTTTTTTCCGAGGCTCATGAAGATCGAACTGAGCTCCTTGCCTCCTTTAGGTCAGACCGAGTTCACCAGGCGTCAGGTACCAGCCCCGAATACGAAGAAAACAAATAGCCCATAAGTCAAATAACATTAAAACCACCCTTTAGAGAGTGTTTAGATAGAATCAAAACTATAACTTTAAAAATATTTTTATAATATATGAAATAAATATATAGAAAAGTTAATCTCAATTTGTTTAAAAATACTTTTCCGAAGCAACCATCCCCTATAAGCATTAAGTTAAGAATTTAACCCCAAAACATTGATGCTTGCCTCTTTGATTCCAAAAACAAAAAAGAACCAAAATACATTTCTATTGAGCCTTTTCGGACTTTCCGTAACAGATCGTAGGGGTCACAATTTCATGTCAACTTCATTCTCGCTTGGAAAGAACATCAGTCGATATAGAACCAAAAAATGGGAAGAACACTAAAAATCAATCCCATAAATATCAATTACTTGATAGGTTACAGCTTAACTAGGATGAGAGAGAGCATGCTACTAATATATTAGTGAATAGTACAAAGAACTCCAGCCAATGCTTAAGCATCCCCTTCGGAGGTAATAAAACCAGAGGATTTTAGTAATCCATTGCCAGGAGAAGAAGCATTTAATCCGCATGTGAAAGTATCACTTCATATCTGAGGATGGCTAAGACTTCATTTCCTCCTGGCTTCCTCATTTTCCCTCTCCCGCTTCTTGTAAAGCCTCTCAAGAACTCGCTTGGCCTCACATTGTGGAAAATTAGACAAATCATAGTAATGCGGTGCTACGTCAACTAGCCTGCGTCAAATAACAGTTGTGGGCATCAAAAGTTGAGCACATCTGGACAACTACCGGGAAAAATAACTTCGTACCATCCATTGAAAAATTGTGAGAGCACACAGCCCTCACTGCATGGAACATTTTACAATTTGTTATTGGAATATCAATATTTAATAGCTCAACAGAACCAGATATTTCTGCAACTAATGTAGAAGAATGCTTTACTGACTAGCATTTTAACTGGAAACAAGTTCAGATTTCATCAGGCTCCATTTCGAACATGATTTCCAATTTTCCAGCATAAGCTAATCAAATCGTGATTTGATCAGAATACAACATAAAAAACCTGAGGTGCAAAGTAAAAATCTTACCACTCCCCACGTATGTCCGTCACTGTACGAATAAAATTCCTGCTGGTTAGAACGTATTCATTGTAGATGACCCATTCAGGCTTGTGATCCAGGCAATTGGATGGATGCAAGTGCACCACCTAAAGACACAATAACATCAGAATTTACAAAATTATACAGACACAAGATAAAAGACCAACAATTCTAACTGTTCTGGTGGAAAATAAAAGATGAACATGAATGTCCCCACTTATACTCGCATGCACAAGAAAACAGAATAAAAATTGAAAAGTAACTTGTCTTTAGCAAACCTGGTTGTCTTTTACTGTCAAGTAGTGTCCTGTGCGCTCCAGGTGAGCTACCTGCATGAAATATCCTGCTAGCATAGCCTTTCTTATGTTGACATAGTATTCACGACTGTTGAAATCAGTACTGCATAACTTGAGGTTGAACCGGGCCATGATGCGCACTAGCTGTTGTCTAACATTATCGGCTGCTTTCAGTGCCCTATGATTAACGAAGTTATCGTAGCACCAAGAGGGGTCCTCATCTGAAGGCATTCAGGTTATGATTAATGAGTACCTCACTTCAGGGAGCGTATTAACAGCAAAGGATTAAAAATACCAGAGAAGTGTGAGAAAAATAAGCACGTACTGTTTTGCTTGTAAGCATGATACACATTCAAGAGGGTGAGATGATCTCCATCAATATGCCCAAACCTAGCTTTTGCTTCATCAGCCGCTTTTTGTGCCTCCCTAGGCCGGACAAAGCAATTGGGTACTAAAGAAAGAAATTGATTATCACAGAGGAGGAATATCGTAGGTCAGCAGATGCATAGAGGCGAGACCACACCAAGTGCTTCATGAGAGAATACTGAGAAACTGCAACTATCTGCATCAGCACTTACTTAGAATCCTATGGTGCATGCCAACTGGTGGCATGGAACCCAAAGAAGACAGTTACTGATGACAACCTAAACGGACACACTTCACTGACCACATTCATGCGTGATTTAACACACACATGTAAGCAGTCAACCAACCCCAACATATGCACAAGACTATCTATGCACACATGCACAATTGCTAGCCTCCATTTCAAAAGGAAGCCCAGCAGAATCCCATTCCCTTGACATTATCACAGGACTCCAGACAGACACTAAAAATAAAATTTAAAATAATACCTGAAAGCATGGCAGAAATTGATAGGATCTCATTTGAACAATTGAATTCAGGACTGACAACGAGCATCTTTGACATCTGTGGGTCCAAGGGAAATTCACTCATAATTTCCCCCAATTTTGTTAAGTTACCATCATCATCCAGTGCACCCAAGTAATTCAACACTTCCAGTGCGCGCATCAACGTCTCAGGAGCAGGGGGATCCATGAAATCAAAATGCACCAAGTCATCTATACCCAGTTTCTTCAAGGTAAGAACTGTGTTGGCAAGATTTGATCTTAAAATTTCTGGATATGTCTGGGGCTGGAGATCATTACTGAAACTTTTCTCAGTGTAAAGTCTAAAACATTTCCCTGGTTGCGTTCTTCCAGCACGCCCTGATCTCTGGTGTGCGCTAGCTTTTGATATTGGAGATACTAATAAAGACTCAACTCGAACTCTTGGGTTATAAACCTTCTGCTTAGAAAACCCAGGGTCAATAACGTAGACTATACCATCAATCGTCAAGGAAGTTTCTGCTATATTTGTTGACACCACAATCTTCCTTCCAGGAGGCCCACCCTCTGTAAGTGGAGGTGGAGCTGGATCAAAAATCTTCTGCTGCATAGCTGGAGGAAGTGTAGAGTACAAAGGAACAGCTTTGACAGGGCCCACCTGATCTCCCAAGTTTCCAATTTCTTTTGATATTTTGCGGCATGCATCTTCTATCTCTTCCTCACCAGTCAAGAATACAAGTATATCTCCAGGAGGTTCACACATGTGAATCTGCACCACAGTCCTGATGGCAGCTTCCAAGTAATCCCTTTCAGGTTCCTGAGTATAAAAAATTTCCACGGGATGAAGCCTTCCAGGAACTTTCATAAGAGGCGCACCATTAAAATAGCCCTGAAACTTTTCAGCCTCAAGAGTTGCACTCATAACAACCAACTTTAGGTCAGGTCTATTTTTAAGCACTTCCTTAAGAAGACCAAACAGCACATCTGTAGCCAAAGTCCTTTCATGCGCCTCATCAAGAATAATTACTTTGTATCGCTCCAAAAGTGGATCTGTCATTGCTTCTCTTAGAAGCATACCATCCGTGAGATACCTATTATGGAAAAAGAAGAGATCACTTTAGACAATGCTTAAAGATGCGAACCCAAAAAGGAAGCGAAACTATATTATGGTTGGAACCAATTACAGGAAATATTTTAATAGAACACATACTTCAAAACTGTCCTGGCACTACTGCAATCCTCAAATCTGATGCTATAACCAACCTCTTCGCCAATATTTACATCCATCTCTTCCGCTACACGTCTGGAAACAGACATTGCAGCCACTCTACGAGGCTGAGTGCATCCAATCATCATCTTCCTGCGTTTATCAGGGGTTTCTAAATCTAAAGCTTCCAGAACAAATTGAGGGATCTGTAATGCAGGGAAAAAACACATAGAAAACAAGCACATCAATAATTGGAGTCATGGGCAAAGGATCAACAGTAGATGTTCATGCAACTAAAAACCCAAAGCATATGAAGGGCAGTAAAATGAGTTTTTATTGATAGGGCGGGCTGATACTTAGAAGTCCAATCCATGACAGCTCACCCAGAACTTTGGTCATTAAAATTCTAACATCGTCAAAAGGAATTGGCTGAAATGATGTGAAAGCAAAGACCAAAAGAAATGTAAGAATGCTAACGCATGGAGTGAATTAAGAATTACCATTGTACAAAACTATGAAGCAGTTCAGGATTTCACTGGCATCTTAGCCCAGTATTTATAAGTTCCTACCCCTCTTCCATTCAATGTGGTTGAGTAAGAGCAACAACTCCAGAAACCCCAAAAGAAAAAAAAAAAAAATGACATTGGAACTAATCCCATCAATCCTGAGTAAGAGTAACAACTCCAGAAAACAGGGGCAACTGAATCGATCTTCATTCATCATTGTTGCCACATCCTAGATTGATTGCCAGAGACATATAAACAATCTACCATAAATATTGTTTGAATCAACAAACTAACCTGGGTAGTTTTGCCACTACCAGTCTCCCCAACCAATATCAGAGTCTGATTAGCCTTCAAAACCTGAAAAAACTCCTCCTTCTGTTGCCATACAGGTAAGGTCTTTCTCTTCTCCAAAATTTCGTAGTACCTTGCTGAGTAAGGTCTCCCAGTCCACCTACTAATTAGATTGTTACCAATGCTGTTGTTGACACCGATAGCCCCACCATTTGCTTTGGCCATTTTAGCTGTAGTGTCGTCTACCACATCAAACAGACTAACCTTCCTCTTTCTCTCCGTACCCATCAAGGCCTAATCCTGCAACGCAATGCCAGAAAGCCAAAACTAGTAAAGAAATTGGGTTTTTAGAATAGATCCAAGATCCAATTAAATAGCTCTCCAAGAACTAGATCCAAATAACCAAATCCCTTGAACATGTAAGCCCGCCACATACAGATTAGGGCAAAGTTATGGCATGCAACTATAATGACAAAGAGGATTAGGTTCCGGATTTACTAACAAGCCCTTTTATATTGTTAGATACTGTTAATCTATTTGATGCGATTAAATGAACTCTCATGATATTGTTGGGTGGTATCTTGACTGTAAGTAACACTTTCATTGCAATCAATTGGACATGACAACTAAATTCTATCATATATTACCACAAAGACAGCTTCAGTGCAGCCAGGGCATGGGTAACAGCAACCACAGGGAGATCATTCTCACCAAAGTAAGAAAAGAAAAGAAAAAAGGCCTAGAGAGACCAATGCAATTGAGTGCTTTGAATGAACATTCAGGAAGGAAGGAAAACCAAAACTCATACGGATGAACAATAGGAAAATGTGGTTACATATAGGGCTTTCAACAAGTAGCATGTGAGAAAAGCAACGAGAAGCTCAACACATGTCTTTTCCCTAACCTATATGATTAATGTTCAAACAGGAATGAGTAAGAAAGTCACCATCACTAAGCATGTAAAAACGGCAACCGAAATCATGGATATGGAGGAACTAAATCACTGGTCCATGATCACTCCTGACAGCCTCATTATTCTTGATTCTACAAATTTATTTTCTGCCACGATCTCTCAATTCGAGGGGTATATAAAAAATTTACATTGATATACAAAGTAAGAACGATAAAAACCTCAAACTATATCTGCTTCTCATTCCCATTTGTCTGTGTTACTTCAATATTTCTGTTAGCTTCCACTTTACAATATATTAACTACACATTTAACAGACTCAAATACAAGTATAAGAATATTATGCCTCGTTGATAATGAACTCTCCACAAACCACCAGAAAAAACTGCTAGTTTCGAGTCTCAGGAAACAAAACAAAAATGACTACGAAAAAGTAAAGGGAAAAACACAGAAACAGATGCACACACGTTTTAAGCTAGCTTTGGACAGGCTAGTGCGCTACCTCAAGTCAGTGCATAAATTGTTACCCTCTCTCTACCATACTCACCCCTATATTAATTATTCACTAGAATAAAGTTCTCTCCCCTAAAACAAACAAACCGTTAATTTCCCTCATTTGCCCCTTCAATTAAACTTGGACCAGTTTGACCCAAAATCCAAAACCATAATCAACAAAATATAATTAACATTTAAATTTCAAAGAAAAACAATAACCATTAAAAAAAAAAATCTTTGTCATTGCCATGGTCCATGGAATCATATTAATAAAACTAGCCATTGCATCTGAGATATGTTATCATCATACAATGAATTTAGGATCTGGAGGAGAAGTAATTCGATAGTTTGATAGAAAGTGGAAGCCCAAATTAACTTTCATATCAAACTCCTCTAGCTTGCAGAATATTAATTTTACAATGAAATATTAGAAGCAATTGTGAAACAGGTTTGTCATTACCATACAGTTCACACTTAACCGACGCATAAATAAGTCCCCAAAAAAACCTTTTCATGACTTGTGGCATCTTCGCTAATGTTTTCTCGTCTTCATAATCAGGCTAAATCACTTGTTTTTTTTTTTTTTTTTGACTTTTGAGGTTAGTAAAAAAGGTTGAACTGGAACATTATTCATATAAAGTGTCATTCTATATTCTGCAAACTAGCAGACAGAGCAGATTTCAGATTTCATCGTGAAACATGGCTGCTATTTCGACATATTGAAGAATCGAAAGAGAGAAGAAGCTTGACATAATCGAAAGTAAAAAACCAAACCTCGATAAGCTACAACAACGAAGACTGAAGGCGTCGGAGCAGTGGGCGGAAGCCGTCGCAAGGTGGAAAAGCAGTGTGACGGAAGAAGGTGATGCCAACACCGACGCCGACGTCGGAGCGAGCAGGAGTCGGCGATGATTGCAGGGTTGGAAACCGCAGGTACTGGGTCTTAGGGATTTTATGTTCGGGGGGCCGAATATAACTCGAAATAAAAATAAATAAATAGAGGGAAGCATTGTGAAACTGTGTCGTTTTATAGGACCCTGAATTATTTATTAAAATTTATTTTTTAAAAAAATAAACAGCGCCACGCATCATGAATGAGATTGTGGAAGTACTGGCTTTATTCTCCGTAGTTTTGTGCATTAAATAACTATTCATATGCAAACTTGAGTTGATATATATAATATAAATACTTAGTATTAACAAAAGCAACCAATCATAATGCAATATAATGTTCTAACATTAGAAGATACTTATTCCTATAAGAAAGAGTTCTTGTGTTGGCCAAAAAAAAAGAAAAAGAAAAAGAAATTGTGTCCCTAGATCATATTATAATGATAATTGTATTATTAAAATTAAATTAGTCAACTTCCATTTAACTTCCAAAAATAATAGCTTGAGATACCAAAAATTGATGGCATGATAACCAGTCTTAAATATTTTTGTTTGATTAGAAAGAAATCAAGTGGAATGAATAACTTTTCATTTAAAGAAGCTAACCGATCCTTTCAGCCACAAAAGAAAAAAAAAAAAAAAGAAAGAAAGAAAAAAGAAGCTAACCAATTCTAGTTTCTACAAAGTTCAGCGTCTGCAGAAAGTAAAGACAAAAGAGAAGGTTCTGGGCCCAAAAAAAAAAGATAAAAGAGAAGATGGAGTTCTCACAATTAGATCCTCTAGCGGGTTCTAAGAATTCACTAAATGCTGTTTGGATTTGAATTGGCAGATGACATGCTGAGTAATGAAGATTTCTTTAGAGGTAAATATTATTTTTAGTCTTTTAAATTTAATTTTGATCCTTAAAATTTGAAACTAACAGTTTTGGCAATTTGAATTCAGTTTTATTCGCCTAAAAATTTTGAATTCCAAAACTAGTGTTTTTGACCCTTGAAAATATATCAAATTTCAAAAACCAAAATCTCATATGTTTTGGGTAGAAAAAACCACTTATTTCAAATGTTTTTTTAAATGCTTTTAATGATTAAAAAAATGGGTATAATCGAGCTTCTCTAAATTGTCATAATTACTACTACCTCCGGTCATTAACATAAGACTTTGTTTGACTTTTATTTTGGTCCTAAACATAAGACCTCAATCCATTTTGTCTCTCATATTTTGTATTTTTTTCAATGTAGTCCTTCTAACAATAGTAGTTCTAGCCAATACACTTGATTACCGAGGATATTTTAGGAAAACCAACACATATTTATTACAAATAACTAACTTAACTTCTTTCTTTAATCTCCTCAAATTAGTCAACTAGCTCTTATAATTAAGACCGGAAGTAGTATTAAATTTCAATAATTGTTATTAAAAATAACTTATTGAATGATTTTTTTTTTTAGATTTTAGCATGAGGAAAAATCATTATTTTCAAGTAAGTGCGTATATTAAGTTAAAAAAATCATATTTTAGATAAAAGATAGACTAAAATAAATGATATAATTAAAAATTAATAGCACAATTAATAATCAAAACAAAAGAAGTGAGAATGAGGTGATTTGGTTGAGAAACAATTGAAAAAAAAGAAGAAGAAGAAAGAAAAATGGGTTTAAGGGGTAAAAGAGGGAGGGGAAGATGTAAAATGAAGAAACTAATACTACCTGTGATTCTTAATATAAAAGCTAATTTGACTTTTAATTTGGTCTAAAATATAAGACTCCAATCCACTTTATTTTTCCTATTTGTTCTTTTTTTCCCTAAAATAGTCTTTATAATAGTTGCACATGTAAAATGTTTCATCAAATAGTAGTTTTAGTTCATAGATATGATTAGTAAAGGTATTTTAAGAAAGATAACACCTATTTATTACAAATAAATGATTTAACTAATTTTATTAATCTCTCTAAATTAGTTAACTAGATTTTATATTAAGAAGTGGAGGTAGTATCATACAAGCCTCTATCTTGATTTTTGAGAGACAAAAACTGTCCTTATCACTTTTGCTAAAGGCAAAATTCTGGTTAATCATGATTTTATCAAAATTATCCATACGGTATTTTTGTAATCACTTTTGACTCCTGCATGAAATCCATGATCTTAGCTTTCACCATTTATTCAAATTATGGGCACTAAAAAACATAACAAGAAGTTTTAAGGAACTTTTTGATAAAAATGCCAACCCACCAAAATGCAAGCTATTTCAACCTACATCGCATCTAACCCGCATCATCATGGACTAGTTTGCCTCTGCACTACCAACCGGTTTTACCGTTTCTACTTTTTAAAGTCATCCACGGCAACTTGCAGCTTCTATTAAGGGTTTAACTTTGTTTGGGACTTTAGGGTCTTCGGTTTCCAAATCATGCTCCAAAGTCCCATAGGTTCCCCCAGTGACGTTGTAGTTTCAAGGGGTCCTTGCCAGGAACATGAACTTGAAGCCAAACAAGGCCTTCCTTAAACTGAGCACATCCCGTCGCTGCTTCCAAACGAGACAAGGGAGTCTTTTCTTTGTTATGAAACAAGGCTTTTTTAAAATGGGGCGAAAAGGATTATAGGCCGGATATGAACTTGCCCAAAAGTAACTCAAAGGACTTGTATGATCTGTCCCATGTTGGGCTCGGAAAATAATTACAGTAGACAAAAAGGGTTAAAAAGAACCTTAGAAATTGAAAATTCACATACAGAAGCATTCACAAAAATTATTATCATTTGCTTATCAATTATTATCAAAACCAATATTCATAGTGTAATGGGTCTCTGTTTGTAATTTTTTTATTTTCAAAGTCCTTTTTTTACCATTTTTCATAAAAAAAATACTAGGAGAAAAAAGTAGATAAAATAGAAAATTTTCCACTTTTTCTGTTTTGAAGTTTTCCTTTCCTAATACTCTCTCCCCCTATTTTCCTCCATTCAAGCTTAGCCCATGCCCTCTCTCTTTTGGCCAAAATTACCATGATTTGTGGAATTTCTTGTTTGAAACTTCTTTCTGATTCTTCCGTAGTTGTGGTTGACCCCTCTTATATTTCATAATTCTATTATTCAGTAACTCTATTCTCTTAATCTTGTTGAAATCGTGCATTTAGATTGGAAATTTTCATTAAACATAGATCAATCGTGTTTTATCATTTACTCGTAATGATAATCGTGTATTTGGCTGCATTCATTGAACTATATATTGACTTGAGCCATGTATTTCCCAGGTTTACATCTTTCATATATGCATGGCCCTTCTTGGGAAGAACAAGCATTAAGTTTCTAGACTGGAACGAGAAATGCTGTGGCTGCCATCATTGATTGCTCCTCTTTCAATATTAGGGGATTTTAATGATGTTCTTTCAGTTACTAACAAGTTGGTTGGAAAACCTAGCTAACGTGTTGAAAGGAAGATTTCTGATTTTTCAATGTGCAGCGCCTAATAAAACGTACAAATTAAAGGGGGAAATCATAAAGCTGCCCAGGTCGAAAAACGAATTACCAATTGGTCCAAGCCTGTGCCAAATGATAGAATAATTATACAAAGTACCATAGGTTAGCATATATAAATAGGACTTGTTAACAATCATCTAAAATTTACTTTCATTTAGAAGCTAATTCACACCATTCTTGATTGATAAGAATATGGGCTTACATAGTAATCTGCTCATCTATTATATAACAGACGAAAATAGCATAATTTGTAGTAATAATCGCAAGTAATTGTATGCATCCAGAAGAAAAGGACAGAAATTGGAATTTGAAATTTCGTAAAACCAAGATATAGGAATTTATCTCTAATAGGAAACTTCCATGCCATCATATAATTCTGTGTTTGTTTACATGTAAAATTTAAACATCTAATCTGTCTACAATAAGAAAAGCGAATATGGGCTGCTATTATTTATGATTCTCTACAAATTATTTGAAAAAAAAAATGAAGACGAAGGCCACTTCATGAATTTTCCAAAGACGTGGCAATGCAACAAAGAAACATTTCCTCGGGGGAAAAAAAACTACAAAGACACACTTAAAATTGTGAACCAAAAAAGAAAGAAAAAGAAACTAAGTGTGAAACATGTTAAAATTAAGCTTACGGGCTTTCTTGAGTTTATTCCAAAGCCAAAACCTGGATTTAGGTTTGGTAGGGAATGATTTTGATGTATGTGGGGGAAATGACGACGACGATTCGTAGTGGTATGGCTCATTGATCTGATCTTGCCAATTCATGGAAGAAGAAGGAAGTGGTTGATGATGAGGTTTTGGCTTGCCAGGCTGCGATTCCCAAGCAAATGGAATTTGAGAGCACTTTGATCGGAAGTATCTGAAAGAAGTTGAACATTTCGATTTGCTTCTCATCAAGATCTTATTCACGAACTTCTTATTGCCTTCTAAGACTGATCTCGGCTTTGAATTGATGGTCTCATTCTCTGTTCTGTTCCCTATGGCTCCCATAATATGAATGAATGAATCAAACCATATGCAAAAGCAATAACGACTGAATTGAAATTAGGGTTTTTGAATTCAAGGTGTATATGGCATGGAAATCGACAAAATTGGAAGATATATAATAGATTAATAGTGTGGTTAACCACTCATTAGATATAATTTGATTTAATCAAATCTCGATTCTTAAATTAATTTCCTTTATTCGTATTAGTAATTGCTAAATCTCTGGTCAAATCACAATTTCTAAATTTTATATATTTTAACATATATATATGCATGCACTTTCAAATTTTGAAATTTAAAGGATAAGATTCATCAAAATATGTTTAATATCATTTATAATTAAGATAAATATATATAAATATAAAACTATTTCAACATATGTTAATTTATATTCTTCATAATTAACTACAATTTACCTTTTTTTCCGTTCTTCTTCATAAGTATCATCCAAGTTTTTTTTTTTTTTATGGGGCCAAAAGTCTCCTTAGTTAATAATTGAGATTAGTTTCTCTTGGGCGGCTTACAAAGGACAGATAAGAATTGAGATTTGAGAATTATTAGCCACTAACAACTTGTTTAAAGATGAAAAATTGAAAATATCCATTCATAATAATCTGAGATGGTGTAAGTTTTGTGTTTTTATTAAATGTTTTACTACTATTCTATACAGCGATAATGGTTTATAAATTTTGAAATGTGTAAGTGAGAAAATCCAATAAAATATAAATATGATTAAAGATACAATTTTCCCATTTAAGACAATCTAGTTTAGGGGAGATGTAGGCACTTGTAATAAACCAAGTATACTCGCTGTATTATGAATGACTAATCCAATCATATTAATAAACCAAGTATACTCTACTCCCATAAAAAAGTTAAAATCCTAAGATTAGGTCTTTCATTAAATGTTTTATGTTTTATTATATATGCCAAATGCTTGTGGTTTGTGGATATATTTAGGGGTGGAAATAGGCTAGGTTAGGTTTTAGCTAAATAGGCCTGAGCCTGCATCAGAGATCTAAAGTCTGGGCTTGAGCCTGAGCCTGTATGTAGGCTTTTTTTTAAGCTCGAGTTTGAGCCTTCAAAAAACCTGATAAGGCCTGAAAGCTTTTTTAAAAGCCTACTTAAAATTTAGGTATTTAAATAGGTTTAAAAGCACATGCTTCTAAATTCATGTAGAACTCTTCAAACCTATTTTAAAGCCTACATTATGTCCTAAAAGCTTATGATCTATTATCATATACAATATAAGATAATAAGAGTCTAGTAAGGAAAAAGAATGCTTACTGAAAACAATTGTTCCAGCAAATATGAATAAGAAAAACCAATTATATGTTGACTAAGGAGATATATTTTCTAAAATCAACCAAACCCAACAAGTGGCATATAAAGCTAGATTTTACCTCTTGCTTTTCTAACAGTATTATAATATTTCATTTGGGCATCACTAAAACAAACTTACTACAATTATTATGCTTTAGTGAACAACGTAAATCAGGGGAGAGAGAGTGAGCTAACGTAGTCATCTTGAGTGATCAAAGAAAACAAGTGTAGAGGTAAAAGATTGATTGATGAAAGGGTTGCGTTTGTGCGTAAACGATAAGATGTGAGACTTAAGATTATAGCTAAGTAATTTTATAAATAATTTATAAAATTAATTTAGATTATATTATATAATAGTGTAAATTAAAAAAAAGTTAAATATGCTAAGTCTGTAGGCTTGTAGGCTAGGCCTTATAAAAATAGGCCTGGCCTATTTATCTAAATAGGCCTTGCAATAAGCCTAAGCCTGAGCCTAGCCTATTTACTAAATGGGTTAGGCTAGACTTAAAGTAGGCTAGACTGTAAACTCCCCATAGGGGCCTAATCTACTTTCACTCCTAGATATATTGAATTAGTTGCAAAGTATTTACACCATTATCAAATATATAATTAGGCACAACTTTATTGACAATTTTTTTATTTTCAGTTTTCCAAAAAAAAACCTAGAAATTATTTATTAAAAATTCTGCCACATTGAAAACGGTTTCGAGGGGATGGGTGGCCTTTTCTTTTGTTTTTTTTTTTTGGCAAAACGCACTTAGCATGTTTTTATGGTGTCTTTTTTTTTTTTTTAAACTCTAGCACATATATGACATATGTCACAATACGCGCATATCTGAAAAATGGGTCAACCAGCATGCATGGTCAGTTAATAAGGAGAGGAATCTGGTCAATATACTAAATTGGATACTGGAAGCTAAGTTAGTGTTCAATTTGGGCAGACAGGAAGAAGATTAAAGGAGAGAGGAGAGTGAGAGAGATGAGTAAGAAATAAGCGAGATTCATTAAAACAAGGCTAAAATTTATATGTTTGGTCCTTTAACTTAATCTAAGATTTCAGTTTGGTCCCTTAACTTTAAAAAGTATACTTTTAGTTTTTTAACTCCAAAATTGTTAGTCTTAAATGATATTTTTTTGTAACAATCATGCAGGATTGTTTTAAATATTAAACTTAATATGTTAGTATCTAGTAATGTTTTATCAGCATTCAAGAGTTTAATATTATCATTTTTTGTTAACAATTCTAGGATTAGAGGACAAAAATTTACATTTTAAAGTTAAAAGATCAAAATAAAATCTTGTGTAAAATTAAAAGACTAAAAATATACTTTAGCCTTAAAATAAACAACCGACGTTTGGCTTAATCAAGAGAAATGAAAAAATTGCTCTGTTTTTAATGGATTGTTTGTATCCATCCTTCGAAACTTAATGCTGCTAAATACTCAAAACGAAAAATTAGATTGTTAAAATTGTATCTTAATCCAAAAAAAATATAGAGATAAAAAGTGTATAAATCAAACACTTATTGGGTTTGTTCTCGTGTTCAAAGTGCATATAGAAAAAGACATATTTAAGTGAAAGAAGAAACTTCATTGCTCATATTCTAGAAATTTACTCGTCAACTTCTTATTTGTCGAATGGCACATGGGAATAACTAATTCCACAAGTCAGGTAACTACCTTCCAATCATTCTGGTAACAAACTATATCAAACTTACATGCCAAGATATAGGACCAGCAAAGTCAAAAGTCAACTTCATTATTAACAGTAATGAAATAGTGACATTTATCGAAATTCATTGAATCGTTCATGGACCCTGTTTTCTTTGCGACGGAGAAAAGTTAGTCATCATGTCCCTTATTTCCCAATCAAAGATGTATTTCCAAATGACTTCGCTTTCTAGGGTTTCTTTCTTCATTTTTTTATTATTACCAATTCGTAGTCTTATTAATTAATTTAGACCCTTTTTTTTTCCTGTATAGCAAAGGGATCTATGAGTTAATTTATATGTTAAGTAAAGGTTAGGTCATCCACATAGAGTACTTAACATTTAACAATAAATAAATTCTCTAAAGTGGGGTGTGAGATATGACTTAGCTTGAGAAATTTTATATTTTATCTTCTTTAAGGTAGGTTTAACGAATTTTGAGTTTACTGAATACTCAAAGTTCTTCACATAAACAACAATATGAAGCAATACTATCGAAGAAGCAAAGACAGCTACAACCCGATCTTTTTCTTCTTGTTAAATATTAATATTTGTTTTTAAGAAGTGTATAATACTACATCCGGTCCTAATTATAAGAGCTAGTTGACTAATTTGAAGAGATTAAAGAGTAAGTTGAGTTAGTTATTTATCTTAAATAAGTGTTGTCTTTTCTAAAATATCCTTACCAATCAAGTGTATTGACTAGAACTATTATTGTTAGAAGGGCTACTTTGAAAAAAAAAAAGTATAAATATGAGAGACAAAGTGGATTGGGATCTTATATTTAGGATCAAAATAAAAGTCAAATAGAGTCTTATATTAAGGACCGGAGGTAGTATATATGTACACTTTTTTCTGTCTCTATATAGGAGCTAATCATTGAAAATTAAATTGGCTCAAAATATAAAATTTTAATTCACTTTGTCTTTCATAATTTATTATTTTTTCTCAAACTATTATATCTTATAAACTTATTTATAGTTAGTATCCAACCATATAAAATTGGATCCAATTAGAGAATACCTATAAGCAATAAAAAAAATCAACTTTCTATATACTACCTTCGGTCCTAATTATAAGAGCTAATTGACTAATTTGAGGAGATTAAGAAAGAAGTTAAATTAGTTATTTGTAATAAATATGTGTTGTCTTTCCTAAAATATCATTGTTAATTAAGTGTATTGGCTATAACTACCATTGTTAGGAGAACTATCTTGAAAAAAAATACATAAATATGAGAGACAAAGTAGATTGAGGTCTTATATTTAGGACCAAAATAAAAATCAAATAAGGTTTTATATTAAGAACCGGAGGTAATAGAATATATGAATGGTAAGTGGTAGAATTCTTTCGACTGTATCTGCTCCATGGACAAAAACGAGTAATTTAATCTTCAATTATTTGTTTAATTTAAAGGACAAGAAGAGCCCCTACCACGTGCATTTTTCAAAACATCGGCATTTTTCTGGCCAACAACAACAATATATGTTAAATCACTCTAACTAGAAAACAAAGTCAAATTAACTGCCTAACGTTTTGTCTCCAAATGCATGTCCCAAGGACTACGACATATACATGAATAATTTCTATATAAACATACAACGGATCAGATCGAAGCTCTAAAAAGCTGCAACAATTCATATGGAGCTTGATGAGAATGAAAATAAGAACATTAATAACATTCTCTCAAGGAACGATTCTGTGGGATTCTCTGACTTTCGATGTAACGAAGGAGTGCCATTCCAATGGGAAATGCAACCTGGAATCCCAAAACATCCTCAGCAGCAACAAAACATTATTCCTCCATTGACGCCACCACCTGCGATTCTCAGCTCCAACCTTCCTTGGCCTTCTATTTCGGATCATTCACAGTTCTCCAAGCCTTCTTCTTCTTCCTCCTCGTCTTCTTCAAACTGGTCTACCAGGTTTCGATTTTGGAAGAGAAAAGCTATCGTAATACTCATCAAGAAACAGACCCGTAGGAGTAAGAATGTCGTCAGAGAAGGCTCACAAGAATATGGTGATAGTTTCGATGCATTTGCAGGAGTAAAGAGCTTGTCTGATCGTGAATCTGTGGCTATGTCTTTGCCCTTTGATTCGAGCTTGTCTTCTTCTTCTTCAAGTCGCTCACAGAGTCCTATCAGAGGAATATATGGGAAGCCTTTGAGTTGCTTTCCAGTGTATGTGAGCAAATTCCATGTTTCTTTTGCGAGGCGAGATTGATGTTATCATACTTCTCATACGTTTCTTTTATTTTGTGGGGAAGCGTTGGATGAAATATGATACGTTATTATTTGTGGTTTATAAATATTTATTTTATGAACTTGCTCTAAGTTCTAATATTAGGGAAAATAACATGCGTACATTTAACTTGAAAGAGACTATATGACATCTCAGTGCTTTGAATACATCCATTTACCACTAATTCTTGAGATTTCTAAGGTAATAAAATGTTGATAATTTTATTATAAGGTATCCAAACGTCATTCTCCCTTCAATCATGTTACGTCCAGTTCCGGTACTTAATTAAGAACTAAATAATTAATTTAAAGAGATTGAAAAAATTAATTAAGGAGGTGTTTAGATAGAATCAAAACCATGATTTTAAAAGTATTTTTACGGTATACGAAGCAAATATGTAGAGGAGTTTGTCTTATTTTGCAGAAAAGTGCTTCTGAGAAGCACTTTTCGGTGCTTCCAAACACCCTTTAAATTGGTTATTTGTAATAAAGGTTTGTCAATTTTTCTAAACTTCCCCATATTATATATTGGTTATTACTTAAATACTGTTAGTTATGCTTTATATTCATAGCATTTTCACTTTTATAATATTTCTGCAGATTTTCTTAGTTTCAAGTCTATTATACGTACTACATACTTAAAAAGGTTTATCATTTGGTCTGCAGTGGTCAGGAACGATTACTCTATACTTTTGGTAGATATATGCTCCTTCAGTCAAAAAGGAAAGAGTAGTTATAAAGCTTGTGATAACGATAAAATTATAAAAGGGATAGCAATTGTATCAGTTATTTTGATGTAATCCTATACTAATTTTACAGTATATATTTTTACATCATTTTCATCCAACTAAACATATAAATAAAATAATATTTAATTTTTTTATTTTAGACCAAACTAGACAAATAGATCACATAAATTGCGCCAAATATAAAAGATAGTCTCACGATTTGTGACTCACTGTACAGATTTTAGTTGAATTGAATATATTGATTCGTAATTCCGTCTATTCACATCATTATTTCTTTTTTATGTTTATACCTAAAAACCAAACATAATCCTTTGTGTTTTATAAAAGCTTGGAAAAATGAATCAAATTATTTGCTCATCAATCATGAATAATATATTAGAAAAGTTTTTGCGATCGATACAGATGTTAATTCTGTGTATTATACATGACATTTTTGTCTGTTTCTTTAAAATTGGCAAAAAAAAAAATATAAAAAGGAGTATCCAAAATCCAGAGAGTCTCCCTCTTACCAGAACTTGCAGTAGCAATATAAAACGTTTAAGCATCCAAAATGAAATGCTATTAAATTTGATTGTAATACTTGTGACACATGAATATCTTTTCTTCTCTAAGCAGTTCCAAAGATGCGATAACATTAATTAATTACAACATACTAATAATTACAACGATATTACACCTTACACCTCAGCCTCGGGGTGGGCTTTGTCAACACAATCAAGGGCAACATTGGTTAGTTACACATTCTGATAGTGTTGACTTGATTAATCGTGTGTCAATAACTAAACTAGCGGCCACAGCATTCCTAGTTGCACACTGCCTGCAAATGAAGAAGCAACAACATCACAACGCAGTAACCAGTAGCACAATATGAGGTGCAATAGCAGTAACAACTTTTAATCTTATGAGGGTGAAGCATCTTTCAGTCTTATTGAACTATTGGAACTTAGGTTGATTTGTAAGACTGAAAGATGCTTCACCCTCATAAGATTACGGTAACTTAGGTTGATTTGCAACTTCACATCAAATAAATCTCACCCTAAAGAGAAAAAAGCATACACTTGCACAAATACATACCTCAGCAGGTGATGAGATGACCGATTGCCTGAAAAATTACATAATCGGCTCAATTACTTGGAGAAATGTATAAATATAAGCAGTGCTTAACAAATCCGAAGCATAATGTAAGTACCTTGGCCTCTCAGACTTGGCAAGATGTTTAGACATTATGGAAGCCTGAAGTATAACACATTATCAAATCAGCTTTTAAATAAATATGCATCATCAAATAAACACAAACTGAGGTCTGCAAGAAATAAATTGCCAAACAGCTAGCTCAGAGAGTAGACAGCTCAAAAGGAAACCTTGTTTAATCTGATCCAGGACAACATTGCAAATGCCCCCCCACCCCCAAAAAAAATAAAAATAAAAAAAAATAAAAAAAATCTGGACAAGTGATTGACTTGAACCTATCCTGCAATATCTAAAGGGAAAACCATTACCTGCTCCTGTATGATGCTCCTCGCTTCAACAAGTTGAGCTTCAAGCTCTAGTTCCCTCTCAGTTGCTTCTGAGGAAACTTCTGCTCCTTTCTGAGCATCTTGCAACTGAACCATTCGCTCCTTCATATTTCAAGGCCATTAGCGACCCAAAACCATTCGTCTATGAAAATACTCTGGTGCATAGAGATATTAAACAGATACCTTTATGGAAGACATCTTGTTACGAAGGCTTTCTTCTATTTTATCTCTGGCCATGTGAAAAGGTAGGTCGAAGACATCCTGCAGAGAGCAAACCCAATTATTTCATACAATAGTTTTCAATTGGGAAGGAAGTATTTGAAAAGTAAAAAGCCTCCATACCGTCCTCCCAACCAATGGAGATCGTGAAGGATCACTTTCACCTCTTTCATCGGCAGTAAGCGATTGCTTTGATGGCCCATTAGGAGCATTTAAGAACTCACGCATGTCCCCCTGGAAGCAGGTCACTTCTAAATCTCAGAATCATAGGCAGAAAGCTACATGCCGAAAGGCAGCTACTAAAATCTCAAAATGAAACCCGGAAACAAAATGCTGAATTTCAAATCCATAATTAGATGGATAAAATGTTAATGGCCCGCCTACTTGTAAACATATCATCACGCAGGAAAGCATTATAAAGCTATTCTTTGCAGATAAAGAAAGACAGGTTTCCTTTTCCATATCCATCTTTAACGTAATAAGCTGGTGGACAGTTACAGCAAGACCATTGTCCCAACTCCACCATATCAAAAGTTGCCACAATCATTCAACAGTTTAGCACTACGTTATTCATTAGAAGTCAGCAGTCACACGAGCAAAAGCGCCAAGTGTTCATATTTGAAAGGGGCAACTTCATGCTAATTCTGATGGGGCAAGATGTAAAAGAAAAATTGAGGTCAACTTTGTCATCAGCCAAGGGGCGCGCACAGCGATATTCATAGCAAAGAGAATAGGAACAGAGAGTACCTATTATCAAATTGAGGGCAAGGAAAATTTAGAAACAAAAATGCCTGTCACTCTATAATAGGAAATAGAAAATGGATGAAGAATCCAAAACCACATCATAAGTATATTCAACAGAAAATGGCAGCAGGAGCCAGGAGAATCAGATTCATAATTTGTCTTGAAGATATTGGACCAATTAACAATATCAATCAATAAACAATGGCCAACCTGCATTGATCTTAGCAAGGCTCTTAAATCAGCATTCTCAGCCACTAGTCCTTGATTTTTCGCTTCATAAGCATCCACCTTAGAATATGTTGAACAATATGTCAGAGATAATCAATGACCAAATATACTAAAAGCTATAACGACAGGGTCAGAGCATATTACAATCTTTTTATAAAAATCATTGTCTGCCTTCTTCCCATTCCACGTTCCACGCTGCCTCCCTTCTTTCTGTTTACATAACACACATGTCATAAATAACAAATCAACATGAAAATGAAGGGCTAATGAGCAAAATGAGATTGTTGATACCTGAAGCAAATTCATTATTTCCATGCCTGACCTAGATTCCTTCTTCTTCTCCATCAATACTTGGTTTAACCTCTCTTGTAACTTTATGTATTCTTTTTCCTTCTTCTTCATCTCATGCATTTGCTGAGTTCTTACTTGCTTTGGCAGAATTGACATAATTATTTCAAGTGTCAAATATTTTTCCATTTTCAAATGGTAGTTGCCCAGAAACATGGAGCAAGAAACAATGTAGATCCAGTTTCTAACCTGATTACCGAGAACCATTTTTTGAAATTCATCTCGTTCTTGTTGGAGCTTCTCAATTTGGGCCTTGAGAGCTGCTGTGTTCTTAGCTTCCTGAAAAGGAAGAATTTTCACAGATATTAACATTAAAAAAATGTAGTAGAATTACTTAGCAAAATAGCATATTTTTAAATATTGGCATAACTGGAACACTTTAATTGTCTTAGCATTTTTACATTCGCAATAACATGATCATCATCTATCTAACCGTTCTAGTAATTGTTGCTATCTCCCTGTCTTTGGCTTGCAGCTGTCCTTCAAGTCTCTCAACTTTGGCCTCCAATCTTGATATATCAGATAATAGTCTGCATCGAAAAAGATAAGGGAAAAGGCCTGATCAGATATTCGTGAATTAGGACACTTAGGTGATGTTCTGAACTTCAGATGCTAGTTTTCGACTAGTTCAAACTATCATTGCCTCATTGTGGCCATCCAACACTTTCTTGACCCAAATGCGTCAACAGACCATTGAAAAACAATGTGTTATATAATAGAAGGAAACCAAATACCTGAAAACAAAATACACAAAGATAATAGACCCCTAATACCTTTCAAATTAAAAAGAGCCAGAAAAAGCTGCAAAAGAAGCTAAAAAGGTTTTTCAATCTCGATACTTATCAAAGGCTCATGTATCTAACCTATGCCTTCAAGGATCGGATACGCTAGTGAAGAACTTAATTAATTCAGATGATTGCGTGAACAGTATACTTACCGTTGTCTCTGATCATTAGCAGAATCTCTAAATTCAACATCACGCTGTCTCTGCTGAAGCAAGAAGTAAAGGCAATTGCAAGTCCGTGCTATGGAAACCTACCAAAATAAGCACAGACAAACCGATATTAAAAACCATATCTCTGTTTTTTTTTTCCTCTTGAACCAGAGAACAAGTAGTAAAATCCAAGATCAATTCTCACAGGGTCATTTGCAAAAAGATCCAGAGAAGCTGGAAATCCATACGTAACAAGCGATTGATTCAAGTACTTGGCACAATGCTCCAAATTCCCCGCATCCGCAAATGTGTACTCCCTAGAGAGAGTCGGATTAA